CAGGATTATTAATAATGAATAATAACAACTAACATACTTTTATTTGAGTATATACTGCTAGTACTGTGAACTCTCTTAACAGTCAACACTCCTTTATTATTGCTATTATTAGCATTTGGTGTTGGTAGATCAGTTATCGATTTTGCTGGTTTAATGCTAGTTCGTTTTGTTGCCATTAGCACTGATTTCGGTTTATCTTTCTTCAACAAAGATCCCTCAAGCAAGGTCTGCTCTTCATTTGTACTCTCAGGTATAGTAACTGGTATTGAACCAACAGACTCCATTTTACGTACGGAAGATTGTGTCACTGGTCTAGATATTGGCTTCAATCCTCCTCCTCCTCCTCCTCTTTCATTGCTAGTTACTGTTGTGGTGGTAGTGCTGCTAGTCCAACATTGTTCTTTAACACGTAGTGATTCAGGAAACCAACCATGCGATTCCTCAACAGCTGGCAATACTGACTCTTCAAATTTGATACCATCCATTAGCTCATTCTGTAACCATGTATCCAGCTACAAGTAAATTAATAATTATTATTGTAAAATAGTACTTTTATGACTTTCTTCCTTCCTTCCTTCCTCTCTCTCTTTATGCACCCTTTCTACTATACTGTATAGCTGGTAATTTTAGATGGGGAAATTTTTCATTCACCAAATAAAACCAGCCAATCAATCATCAAAAATTTAGAACTTGCACAATCCAAAATCCTCAGCTGTACTACACTTCCCCCCCCCCATCCTTTCTCATTCTCTTCTTCATCTCTAACTCACTTGTCCAGTTTCAGACAATTGGCTCATCATTGCAGGACTCCTTGTAGCTGCTGTTCTATTTATAGTAACAGCTGTTGTTGCTCTATTAATAGCAACAGCCTCTTCAGTAGGAAACTGTGGTACCTCTTGTACAGGTCTACTCATTTTACCAGCTACTGACGTCATACTAATAACACTACGCCTATAACAATGAAGTGTAATACTTTATAAAGTTGTTTGTGAGCAACTATGCATAAACATTATAGACTATAACAGCTTCTTTAGAAAACACTACATCAAAAACTAATGGGTAGCCTTAGGTATTTTTCAGAATTTTGGCGTTTTCTTAAAATGGCCGTAATTCTAAAAACTGAAAGTCAGAATTAGCTCAAACTTTCTACATAGCATAGGGACATTAATATGTATCAAAAAATGTAATAAAAATTTTGGGTGATTTCAGAGCCATTTTTTGGAAAAAACATCAGGGCTATAATTTTGGTATTTCCTTAAAATCGAGGAATCAATTTTGGTAAAAAAATAAAACATTTCAAAGTACCTTGCATAAAATAAAGAAACATGCATGTACACACGTCAGTGAAGCTATCAAAATTCTATAAGTACATGCAAATTAAGTTAATTACCTCAATTTAGTCTTCATTACTATTTTACCAGGTGCATTGTTCTTAGTGCTGGGCTCATTAGGTATGTGGGCGTGTAACAGTATCATCATATTACTACCAAACGAACGAATAGTCTCCACTTTAACCTCCTTCAGTCCCATCTCCCACAGCTTCTCCAATGGACCACTCTGATCTACAAGATCAATAACTTTCGGTTTCAATATAATATCCTTAGCAATATCCTGTGATGAAGCTCCTCCTCTTTTTAAGCCACGCCCACTGACTCCGCCTGTAGACATTTGTCTCGATAAATTGGTGTCATCAGAAGGAAGGAGTAGGTTGTAGAGTGTGTTGATGTATTCGTCGGAACAGTGACAGGTTACCAAACCGACTGAGGAGCTCTCATCTCGGCTATCATCCATTGCGGAGAGTTTCTGGTTTGATTTCTTTTTACGAAAGAAATAATCAGTTTCCTCTGAGCCATTGATGGACTGATGAGGATCAATATATTCACTGCTGTTACTGACAGGACCTAATGTGCATGATAAACAAACACAAATAAATTAAGCCTATGTGAATGGGTTAATATAAGTCTCAGATACACTAATTTTGGAGGCAATTTTTCATAAAAGGGAAACACTATAGCCTTTGCTTGTTTATGAAAAATGGCAAATTTTGAAAAATGACCATAACATGAAAATTTTTGGTCAGAATCACCTAAAGCTTTCTACACAGCATAAGTACATCAATATGTATCAAAAAATGTAATAAAAATTTGGGGTGATTTTTTAGCCATTTTTTGGAAAAAAACCATGGGCTATAGTATGGGTATTTTCAGAATTTTGGCATTTTCTTAAAATGGCCGTAACTTTAAAAATTGAAGTCGGAATCACCTCAAACTTTCTACACAGCATAAGTACATCAATATGTATCAGAAAATGTAATAAAAAATTTTCATGATTTTTGAGCCATTTTTTGGAAAAAACCATGGGCTATAGTACAGGGTAATTTTCAGAATTTTGGCGTTTTCTTAAAATGGCTGTAACTTAAAAATTGATGTCCGAATCACCTCAAACTTTCTACACAGCATAAGTACATCAATATGTATCAGAAAATGTAATAAAAATTTGGGCTAATTTTTTTAGCCATTTTTTGAAAAAACCATGGGCTATAGTACAGGGTATTTTTTAGAATTTTGGCATTTCCTTAAAATGGCCGTAACTTAAAAAATTGAAGTCGGAATCACCTCAAACTTTCTACACAGCATAAGTACATCAATATGCATCAGAAAATGTAATTTAAAAATTTTGTGATTTTTGAGCCATTTTTCATGGGCTATATATAGTACAGGGTATTTTTCAGAATTTTGTCGCTTTTTTAGAATGGCTGTAACTTGAAAAATTAAAGTCAGAATCACCTCAAACTTTCTACACAGCATAAGTACATCAATATGTGTCAGAAAATGTAATAATAAATTTTGGTGATTTTTGAGCCATTTTTTGGAAAAAAACATGGGCTATATATAGTACAGGGTATTTTTTAAAATTTTGGCATTTTATTAAAATGGTCGTAACTTTAAAAATTAGAGTCAAAATAACCTCAAACTTTCTACACAGCATAAATACATCAATATGTATCAGAAAATGTAATAAAAAATTTTCATGATTTTTGAGCCATTTTTTGGAAAAAACCATGGGCTATAGTACAGGGTATTTTTCAGAATTTTGGCATTTCCTTAAAATGGCCGTAACTTAAAAAATTGAAGTCGGAATCACCTCAAACTTTCTACACAGCATAAGTACATCAATATGTATCAGAAAATGTAATAAAAAATTTTGTGATTTTTGAGCCATTTTTTGGAAAAAACCATGGGCTATAGTACAGGGTATTTTCAGAATTTTGGCATTTCCTTAAAATGGCCGTAACTTTAAAAATTGAAGTTGGAATCACTTCAAACTTTCTACACAGCATAAGTAGATCAATATGTATCAGAAAATGTAATACAAATTTTTGGTAATTTTTGAGCTAGTTTTGGGAAAAAACCATGCGCTATAGTATAGGGTATTTTTCACGACTTTGGCAGTTTTCAAAATTGACCATAACTTTAAAAATTGAAGTCAGAATTGCCTTAAACTTTCTAAACAGCATAAATACATCAATATGTATCAGAAAATGCATCAAAAAATTTTTGGTGATTTTTGAGACATTTTTAGAAAAACTATGGGCTATATATAGTCATTACTTTTTCCTAAAAATTTGCAACATGCCACTTCCCAAATACAACTCCTTACATTTAATTCAAATAAATGTATACATGTAGAGATCTATGTTGCAAAGTTTAACATACATTAATACACAGTAAAAAGTTGTGGACTATGAAAAATATAATTATTTAACAATTACCTTTATCAGTCGGTTGTCCTGAGAGCAGTGTTGATAGTGGTGATTGTATGATTGGTCTAGAGCCCCAGATATGAAACGTGTTACACTCAGTGGCAACTACAGTAGCTAGCTCACTACAAGTAACCATCTAACAATAAAACAATAATAATGTGAAATTCAGTAATGCAAAGCATAACAATATACATGTACATGTACATGCAAAAGAAAAGGAGGGAGGGAATTATAGTTTTGCTTAATGTACACAGACAATACTGGACATCAATGTAGCATTTAATTTTAACATAACACATACGTTTTTTATTTAATGGCATTCAAGTACTTAGTATACAATAATATAAAATAATATCTTACTATTGGTTTATTCTTCAATCCTTTAACAACCACTGCCATTTCTCTAGGGAGTGCATTCCCTGATCCTAACTGACCGTGATTATTACGTCCAAAAGTATACACGAGGCCAGTCTCAGTGAGGAATGCTGAATGAGTTGATCCCAATGAGCAATCAATGATCCTGTGCTTCCCTAAGTCTTTAATAGGCAGCGGATTGATGGAATAGGGGACTTGCAAATGATGCTATATGATAACAATAATGGAAAATAATAATAATAATAAATAATAATAATGGTATTAATTGTAGTAATTTTTATTAACTAATTAATGTACAATTCAGGAGCTTTGGCCAAATTTTGCCTGTGCTATTATATTAATGATAGTGTAGTTTTAGTATAGTAGCAATGATTGATAATACATACTTTGTTTAATAATTTCTTCATTTGCATGATGAAAGTTTCTCTTTTATTTATTCCAATTTTATTATCGGCATTACTAATAACAACAAAAACAATAATGATAATAATAATAATAATAATAATAATAATAATAATAATAATGACAATAATAACAACTATATAGACATCATGTACATGCATAACTTACTTTCCACAGGCAAAAACTCGTCCCATTTCAGTAATGAATACAGTACTGTCCATACCACAGTACACATCAATAGCTACTTCATCCATTCTTGCTCCTGGACTCCTTAAAACAACTTCAGTTGGAACAAAACTACATGTACAAAAATTAGTAAATATAATATAATGACCAATGACAATCATTTGCTAAACAATTATTGCTAATATAAATACAAGATTAATAGGAAAGAAAAATACAAGTACATTTGTAAGTGATAAAGAAAAAGAAAAGAATACAAGTAGCCCATAAAACAAGAGTTTACTATTATTAGTTTAATAAGAAGTAAGTATATACATGTACGTACAGTGTATGTTATGTGTAGTGCCTACCAGTTATCTTCTGATCCATTTCCAAGGCAGCCATACTTTCCTGAGCCCCAAGTGAATATTTTGTGATCTAAAGTGAGTACAGCAACATGACTCTCACCGCAGGATATCAAGTGGCTATCATGAGTTAGTAATGACTTGATTATCTCTGGCTGCAGATAATCACTGAGTAGGGAAAGAGAAGAGAGAGAGAGGGGGAGAGAGAAGGAGAGAGAAAGAGGGAAAAAGAGAAGGAGAGAGAAAGAGGGGTAAAGACAAAAAGGAAAAAGAAAGAAGGGAAGAGAATATGAGAGATAGAAAGGCAGAGAGGAAATGAGAAAGAAGAAAAAGAGAGAGAGAGAGAAAAGAGATTCAAAGAAATTATGAGAAAGTGAAAGTGAGAGAGAATAAATTACACATAATATTACTCTAGCTCTTACTGATAGTTCTCGTGTCCTAGTACTCCCTTATCTCCTCTTCCACAAGACATTATTATCCCGTTTTCATTCTTAAAAATACTAAACTCTCCCCCACACTCAACCCTATACACACAAACACAAGAAGAGATGACATACACATGAAGCCATACAACAAACCCACTTTAATATATTGCGTCCCTTGAGTCCAGCAATCAGCGTGGGGTGGTGCCTATACTCTCTGTCACCATGTCCCAACTGTCCATACTCATTCTTGCCCCAACTGTACACTGAAGTGTCTGCAGTGACAACCATCATGTGACCATAGCCTACGGATACCTAAAATACATGTAATAAAAAATAGTTAATAGAATAATCATCATAATAATGTAAAAGTAGCAGATAACTTTCTGGATCAGTTGAATTAAGGTGTAAACTATAATTTTTTTGATTTATTGTACAAAAGCATTTTAATTTTGGATTTTATGCATAATTTTATTGAAACAAGATTTATTGAAAATTAAGCCTCTGCATGTATTATGCTGTAATAATAGTAATACTAATTTTATAAAAAATACGTGTGTGATCTTGTCTTGTATAGGACAGGAGACTGGCTGAAATGAGAGAGATTGGCCATCAAGATAATACAGGAAAGACTTCATTTCCTTATTATCGTCAACAGTAGGCTCTGTCGGTAGGAGTATCCCTTCCTTGATCTGTATTGCCTCCAGTAATGGAGGGACGGTTGCATCATGAAGCTCAGAGGCACTGGGTCTTCGGCTAGGATCCTTCTGTAGCATCCTCTGGACCTAATACATGATAATTAATAACAATATTATGCATGTACCAGACCTGGGGTCAATTACAAATCCTCAATTACAATTACACATACATGTATAATTACACTACTTTTGAAAAAATAGGCTCAATTAGAATTACATTGCCTTTCAAAGTAACTTTTAAAATTCATAAAAAAATTAATTATGATAGAAATCAGCTTAAACTTTCTAAACATAAGAACATGCATGTATCAGAAAAATTATAATAAGAGAAAAGTCTCTCCTAGTCATTTTTTGGCAAAATTTTGCCAAAGACCCTGTACTATAGTATAGGGACTTTGGGCCAATTTTTTAGGAGCTTTTATAATTATCTTCTATTAGGGTTGTGCTGTTTTATACTTTGATGTAATGAGAAACAAGTTTGTAAGTCATCACTTGTGTTTGCTTGTGTATGATTTATTATACAATAATATTTTAATATAAATAACTGAAGGGAAACTAAGGAATAAATATAAAATCAAGAAGCAAGAACCGATAACTGTATCAGCAGCAAATTCACCATTGTGATGTGTATATGCTCATTATTAAAAGCTTCATCATCCAATATAGACCATTTAAAAATAAGTTATGTTGCATTTGTGTACAATTGCATGGATGTTTAAGTTGACGTGCTTTCAAGTATATTGTTTTTTATTATCTCTGACTCCGTCAATAGACAATGTGTTTGTTGTTTGTTACGCATATAATTGGCAGAATAACAAAACCAGTCAAGCTTGTATGTATTGAGTAGATTGGCAGAGCAATACTGTCCTTCTATTTTCATTTTCTTCTCCCTCCTAGTGATAACACACGAATGAGCTTTAGCAAACACTGTATCCAGCTCCAGTACACAAGAATGCTGCTTTGTTTTTTATGTTCATTATTGAATCACTTTCACTTTTCAGTAACCATAACTATAGGTTTCAGGAATAACTAAACATTGATGCAATATAAACAACTTCAGTTTATGTACAATTAGACATGGAGATGTAGGCATGCAGCTGTCATAAATGTGTATAAAAAGTGTTCTGAATAAGCAGATTGTCAGACATTTCTTCTGGAGGCATTAGTCCTACCAGAAGCAAAGTAACCATGAAATTGGTTGTCCTTCTTCTGTGTCTCCCATTTCTTGGACTTTGCCAAATAGAACCTGGTAAGACTACACACTTATAATGGAATCATCTAAACCTTTTCTTTGCAGATCAAGAATTTGCTAGTGACAATGAGAATGAAATCCTTGATCCTCCTCTACCTCCAGTGAAGGAGGGCTCTCCAATACCTCCAGTAGAGCAGGACTTTCCAATACCTCCAGTGGAGCAGGGCCCTCCTCTACCTCCAGTGGAGAAGGGCTTTCCAATACCTCCAGTGAAACAGGGATTCATAGAGCAAGAAAACAGGGAAAACTCTGAAGATCTCATAGGAAACACGGATGCCATGATAACTGACAGTGAGGAGAAAATGAAAACAGAAGATGATGAAGATGCTGATTTGTCTGAGTTTGAAACCTTTGTTGACGAAGATGATGATGACGATACATACTTAGGTAAAGGAAAAACAATAGTCTCATTCATTAATTGATACTTTGTGTTATAGAACCTGCAGAGAAAGAAGGTGTTATAGTTGATGGTGATATACTCCTTAGTAAAACTGAAGCTGCTTTATACAAGAAGAGTGGATGGGATGGACTTGCTAAAACTGAAGCATGGGTAAGGGGAAGAAGGTGGGGCAGAAAGATAAGATACAGGATTCACAGAAACTTAAGTACATAAAATGGATTCTATTCTGATTATAGAAATGAAATATTATAGAGCGTAATCATATTTTACTTTCAAACCTCCATAAATCAATGAGAGCAATCCAGTCAGGAACATGCATTAGATTTCAAAGGATAAGAAGGAGAAGGTGGAGGAGGCACATGCTGTTCAAAAGACACAGAAGCAAGTTAGCTGAGTGTTCATGGAATATATATTCCTTCCCACTATTAAACAGATGTTTTGTGAGGTTGCTAGGAAGGCCTCTTTTTGGAGCAAGAAGAGTTTTTCTGAGTGAGAAATGTTCTGGATCTGGACGTCCAATGGTACCAGCCCATGAGATAATGCATGCAATGGGACGCCATCATGAGCATAACAGACCAGACAGGAACAGATATGTAAAAGTCAACAAGAACACATGTTAGTAAAGTGGATATAGTTGCAAAAATAACTTTTATTATAACTTGTTTGTTTATAATAATCACTTGTCCATTGTAGGTTGGTTACAGTTTTGGAGAGCAAGGCGTGCAAGGACATATGGAATACCATATGACTACTATTCTGTTATGCACTATAGCC